TATATATATATCATGCAAACCAACCTGAAGCCTCTCTTGACCCAGTAAACCTAACAGACAGTAACCGTATCACTAGCTTATTCTTAGTCAGTTTTAGTAAGGTTTTATGGCACCTGCAATTGCATAAGGTCATATGAGCGCCAAGAGGTCGATGTCAACAGAGAAGTCCAAATGGGGAATCAGGCTTACTCTGCTCACCTCTCTAGCCTCAACAGCACAAAGTCTGCTTTGACTATGAAAGCATCCAGGAAAGAGCAGTTCACAAGAGTGACAAACATACAAAACAAGTAGAGGAAAATAACGATAGTAAGGATGAGGAAAGAAAAAGCAACACTCCCCCCCAAGTTGTTCCGGCACAGTATGAGCATGACATTGATAAATCAGCCCATTTTACAATTCTACTGAGCATAAGAATATGTTAATATCCCCCCTTTGGGAACGGCCTAAAGACACTTCAGTCAGTAGCACCGCCCTGGTGGGTGGTAGCTTATTCCATGATACACTTTTCCTAAAGTGCCGAATCTGAAACACACATCAGCAATCATGGTTTACACCTCATTTCTCTGCTTGGGTGCTCTAAAAAAAAATATTATTCTGTCATATTGCTAGATTCGCTACTTTAGAATTACAAAGTTCTCTCTGAAATTTTTGGCTGTTTTGAGTTACTAAATACAACACCATGAGGCCAGAAACCAAATGATCTATCTGCTCTATCAAAATTGTAAGATTATTTAGAGTTGTTATCAAGATATTAAAAGAATTGCATAAGAAAAAAAAGAATTGCATTTGAAAAAGCTTGACATGCGAAACTTATAAATTTTACCGTTAAATTTCTCAAAACTAGGCACTGGGTAGATAGAAGAACTCTGCAATCTAGGGCAGCGAGATGTAAGGAAGAGTTTGCACCAGGGGAGGTATTACCAAGATGACACTAATGACAGTGTGTGTCACTTTGATAACTTCCCCTTGAGGAGTAAATTTTTTTCTATGTTACAACCTGAAGTGGGGAGGTCTCTCTCTCTCTCTCTCTCTCTCTCTCTCTCTCTCT